CCTGTCTCAAAAATCAAAAACAAATAAAACCAAATGTGAAAACACACTTGAATGATGTAATGAAAACAAGTCATACCATGAAAATAGAATTTAACAAAGAAACAAAATCACTAAAGAAAACCCAACCTGAAATAAAACTAGAAACAAAAAACTGAGGATGTCAAGAAAAACCTCAGAGATAAGCCAACAGATTAAAAAACATGAAAGAGAGAATTTCATGTCATGAAGACAAGGCAGAAGACAGTGGATAACTCAAAGAAAATGTTAAACCAAAACACAAGCTCAAAACATACAAGAAATATGAAAAGACCAAACCTACAAATAATAGGTATAAAGGAAGAAGAAATTCAGTTCAAAGTCACAGAAATATATATATACTCTGCATCCTGAGTACTGGGATTAAAGGCATGTGCCTGGCACACAAAATATATTTTGAACAAAACCATGAAAAAAAATTGCCCCAATCTAAAGAAGGAGGTGCCCACTGAGGAACAAGAAACATACAGAACACCAAATGCACAGGAAAGAAAAGAAATTCCCTATGACACATTATAACGTTAAAAGTTCAGAACAAAGAAAGTACACTAAAAGCTACAAGAGAAAAAGGACCCAATCACATAAAGGCAGCCCCCCCCCCCAGATTAACACCTGACTTTTTAATGGAGACTCTAAAACCAGAAGGGCCAGGAATCCCAGAGTACTATACATACCAAAAATATCTATCACAATTGACAGAGAAAGAAAACATTTCACATTAAAAACAAACTTAAATAATTTCAATCAAGCTCTACAAGAGGCACCAGGAAAAAAAAATGCCAGCCTAAGGAGAAGGTTAACTACTCCCAAGAAGACAGAAGAAATAATCCCAGAACAGCTAAAAGGAAGAAGAAAAAACCCACAATATAACAACAAAGTAACGGGAATAAACACTTTTCACCAATAACTCAATATTGATGGTCTCAATTCTCTCAATAAAAAACACAGACTAAAAGATTGGATTAGAAAAAAGGATCTGTGTTTCTGCTGCACTCATGAAACACACCTCACTATCAGAAAAGAAGTCACCTTAGAATGATTACAGGATGGAAAAGATGTTCCAAGAAATTGGACCCAAGAAGCAAGCAGGTGTAGCTATTTTTAGTGTCTGACAAAATAGACTTCAAACCAAAGCTAATTAGAAGAGATAGAAAGGGTCACTACTTTCATGTGTGTGTGCATTCCCATGTGCCAGATACCTGTACTCCCAGTATTTGTCAGACAAGTATCAAACAGGTCTGTGGATGTAGCTCAGTGGCATAATCTGTACCAGGCTTTTTCTTCTAGGCCACCAGCCAGCTTCCTAATCATGACACAGAGACTTATTATTAGTTTTGATGCTCGGCCTTAGCTTAGTTCTTTTCCTATAACTTAATCTGTTTCTCTTCATCTATGTTTGGCCTTGAAGCTTTTTACCTTATCTTACTTTCTTGCTGTCTCTATGTCTGGTTGGCTGATGGCTGCCTGGCTTCTGGCCCCAGGCGAGTCTCTCCTTCCCTCCTCCTCCTTCTCTCATTCCCCCTCCTTCTCTCCTCCTCCTTCTCTTGTTCATCCTCGTTCTTCTTTCTCGAGCTTACAATTCTCTTCCTATTTATTCTCTCCTCACCAGCCCAGCCTATCCTTTCTCTGCCTAGCTATTGTCCATTAAGCTTTTTATTAGACTAATCAGGTGTCTTAGGCAGGCAAGGTGAAACTGAGGCTACACATCTTTACATAATTAAACAAATGCAGCATAAACAAAAGTAATACACCTTTACACAGTTAAAGTAATATTCTGCAGCATAAACAAAAGTAGCACATCTTTGCCTAATTAAAATATTCTACAATAATGATTCATACCTAGTATGAAGAAAACCTATGTGCCAGGGTTTGAGGGCAGAACATGGTACAGAAGTCCTAAGTTCCCTGGCCAGCACAGAAAAGATGAAAGGATGGAAGGAAGACAGAAAGAAGCAAGCATGCATAAGGGAACACACTTTATATAAGGCAGTGGAGCATTTCTTATTTGTAGAGTTTGTTGTTTGTGGGAGAGGGGTGGTCTTGGAATGAATCCCTACCGCTATCAAGGGACAACTGTATTATCATCTCAACATGTCCATATGTATTCATTTATAAGCTGTTGTGTTAATCTTCAAACCACCCTTCAATATCCAGCCTTGATAACAGCTGCCCCATTATGGCTCAGGGCACTTACCAGACAGTACAGTTTATGTGAGATTTCTGTCTTCCACACAACAAATTTCACCTTGTACTTTCTGGAGGAATAGCTTTTCAAACTGTGTAGTTTCCCTAAAGCTACTTTCCTCTGCAAGACTGAAGACCACTGTGACCAGCTTGACTGATGACAACTGTGACCAGCTTCTGCAAGATCATTTCCCATTTTTCTGATAGACATGGGTGATTTATTGAGGGCAACTTAGACAGCCAGGGTCCGGCCATCCAGATGGTCTTTCTGTGACTGCAGTATCTTACAGGCTCTGGAGGCTGAACAGCACTCTTAATTTGTGGCCTGGAGCAACACCAATCTTTCCTACAGGAAAGCTTTGGCCACCTTTGGCCACAAACTTTGTTATTACAGGCTATCTCACCCCTCCAGCTGGATCACCCTGACCACTCCTGTTACTTTCCCCATCCTATATTTGGTTATTGAGAGGGTGGCTGAAAGGTCCGTGTGTATGAATGCTAAGACACAAGCCAGAGATCTCTCTGTGCCTCACCTGGTAGTCTTGAGCTACAGTACATTTAAGGTCTAGCCCCACCTCTGCCCTGCTCCCTGCTTCACCTCTTCCACATCAGCCATTATTCCTAAACCGCCTATTGATACCATGGCCCTCAGGACCTTCTAGGACTAAAGTCTCCAGAAATGAAAACTCTATGGTTCCTGTCCTCTCCAGAAACCCCTCATTTAATCCTGTAGTCTATCCCTACCCTTTCTCCTCAACCCTCACAACCTAACGGTAGACCTGGAACAAAGGTGGGCAACATAGGAAGGACATGGAAGAGGGGTGACTCAATAACCCTGGGAGCACAAACACCCTAATTCTGGATGCCTGACCTTGCCATACCTGCCGATACCTGGTGGGTATCCTAGCCCAAAAATGAGGCATTCAAGAAAACTCAATTTACAAGAAAACTCAATTTACAAGTAGTTGTGTGTGTGTGTCAGAGAGTGAGAGAGAGAGAGAGAGAGAGAGAGAGAGAGAGAGAGAGAGACCAGAAAGTCACTCTTATGGTGTTTGGGGGTGGCATCTGTTCCCTTTTCCATACTTTGAATTTAGCTGAGGGATAGTGCTTAAGAGGCTGGGCCATGTTCCCCACAGCACACCATGATGCCTGATCACTGCCCCTGCCTTACATCCTCTGTCTGGGCTAGGGATATTTAAAGTGTGCCAGTGTGGGAGTGTTGGTCGTATCCTGGAGTGCCAGCCCAGTTTTTGGTAAACTGAGCAAGAAAACAGGTCCTGTTTCTGAGTTCCATGGCTGGAAAGGTCTACACTGCCCATGCCTTGTGGCTCAAAGCTGCTCCGGCCGTGTGGGAACAGTGGCAATTTCCAGAGTGCACATCAACCTCAAATCCAGAGATCAAACAATAAAAATGTCAGTAAAAGGAGAAAACAGGCAGCAAAAGGACAAGAGTGGGACATGGGGGCAGAGAGGCCAGGGCATGGCAGCTGGGCCATAGAGTGAAACTGGAGAGGCTGCAGGCCTGAGGAAAAGAATGGCCTTGCTTCTGTTCCTAGCCAAGAAAGGAGGGCCACAGAGGCCAGAGAGCCACAAACTAAGCAGAAAGAGGGAGTGTCACTGTCTGCAGGCCTGACAGTCCCACTTCTCTGGTGAGGGTGGAATTTAACCCCATTGGATGCCTTCCAGCTTCTTCCTATGCTTTTAGGCAGGGATCCAGCACTGGATCTCTATCCACTTGCCTGGGAGCTCTATTTCAGAGTTCCCACAGCCAATGAGAGCAGATGCAACAGACAGAGTGGGTAGGTGCAAGGACCTGAGATCCTTCTATAAATCACCCTGACTAAACACCATCTGCATATACACCATCCCAGACATGACCACAAGAGCAGGGAGCCCTTCACTCCTGAGCACTGGGATAATCTTTCTGTGGGACTTCTACTGTATGTTCTAAGGCAGTCAGATGGTTCCAATCCTGTAACCCAAATAATCTCCATGGATGTGCGCAGGCCTGGCCAGAGATGAAGAAGGAGAGCTAGACCTGGGCCTGGAAAGGGTAGGTAAGGAGTTGTCTGTCTTGTTCTCTGAGTATTTCCTCAGACTGGATTGTCAGGTAGATGGAGACCAAAGCCATATTTATTCCCGTCAGTACTTGTAGAATGAAGGAATGATGAAGAGGTGGGAAGGTGTCAGACAGAAGACTCTAGCATACTTGGATTGTCCTCGATCCAGCAGTACAATCCCAAATGTGGAGCCAACTAAGGTCCTAGAAGTTGAATTGGTCTGCAGACCTGACTGGAGACCCACAGACGTACTGAGCCATTCTGAGGCAAGCCAGCCTTTGGTTCTCCGCCCCTCCCCCTATCCCTGCCACCCGCCACCGGAAGTAACGGCCCACCTCTAACCTCTAGTCTCTGTTGTGGACAGAGATATGGATACGGAGTCCTGGGGATCGCTCGCCAACCGCTGCCCGGCACACATGGACTTCAGTATCTGGAAGACGGCCAGGGGAGCCACGTTCAGATTCAGCAAGTCCACCAGGATCCTGAGAAAGCAAATGCAGTGCTCAGTGAAAACCGCAAGCCTTAAAGCTGACCTTAAGGTGGCCGGCTGGGCCACCGCCCTGAAAACCCGAACAGTGACACGGGAGTTTTCAGAGTAGTGGATGCCAGCAGGAGGGGTCCTGAAGCAGGCTTATCTGCAAGGAGAATGAGCTAGAAGCCCCGACCCTTCCTTCTCACTTGAACACATCAGGGTCGATGGCGGCGCCTGCAGCCAGTGCAAGCTCGTACAGCTCCATCTCCTCGGTTCCCAGCACTTTCTTCCGCCGAAGCGCTAGCTTCTGCAGCGTCGCCGCCTCCAGCCCTGTAGATGTCCCGAGTGCAGCACCGGCTGCCGCCATCAGCGTAGCCTGAAAAAGGTGAGCGTTGGACCCGGGCCGCCAGGAGGTTCCACAGCGCCTCCTACTGGCAACTCGTTTTCATGCAGAGTCGCCGCAGGCCTTGGGATGGCAGCTCCAGCATTGAGGGCTGGTTCCGGAGGAATCTACTTAGCCGATTGCTTGATTGTACTGTGCACAGGGCAGTGTGTTTGGCAGGGAATAGTGTGATGGAAAGCTGTACCCTGTATGGCCATCAGACCCTTGATAGACCACTCGCTTAGGTAGCAACACCCAGAAAAGTGCCTGGCATATACTGAGTACTTGGTAAAAGCCGCTTGGATGAAGGGTATTTATGATTACATGCAATTATCGCTTCTGCCAAGAAACCCTAAACAGCTTTTGCTTTTATGCCGCACACAACACTCCTCCATGGAATACATAAATTTAGGCGTAAAAGGCGCTGACGCAATCACTGCGCACGCGCCTTTGTGGCCAACCGTGGCTATCCCTATGCTAGCTTGTCTTTTGCTTTGCGCATGCTCCTTTCCTTTTTGGTGGAGCGGTTTACCCACGAGGCAGGGGGCGTGGCTTGATGACGCACGGCTCGATAAGGCGTTTTCAGTTTAGTGTGGCTGGTGGCATCTGTTTTTGAAGCTTGGTGGACCGGCACAATGACCAGAGATGAATTCAGCAAGTCAGCTTGGCCTGTGTGATGACAGTGGAAAATTCCTGATCGGCCACCGTTGAGCCCTGAGGAACCAGTCAAGGAGTCCCCGGGCATTTTTTAAATCTTACTGGTCTTTTGCTTATATATTAGGAGTTCCATTTACGTGTTTTAATGGGTTTTGTGTGTGCGCTCCTGCGTGTGTACGTTTCTTGTGCTTTATCTATTTTTTCCCTCTGTTTTGTTTCGATTTGGTTTGGTTCTCCGCCCCAATGTGCCTGTTTGTTTGCTAGTGAATAGGGAAAGAAGGCTTTGGGTTCTATATGTGGGGAAGTGGAGAGGATCAGGGAGGAGATGAGAGAAGGGAAACCAGGATCAGATTATAGGGGATGAAAAAAATTATTTCCAATTTAAAAAAAGATATATGGGATGAATAGTCTCCATTCTTTGAAAACATTGTTCATTACTGGGATGGGGAGAGTTTAAAGTATCTGTAAATTACTCAGCCTTTCTCCTTTCTTCCCTGCACTGGACACAGATTCCCTGGATCTGCTGGTCCTCTTTGCTTCCCACCACATATAGCCAGTCACCAGGTTCCAGACCTCAGGACTAATCTCCGAGGTGGATTTGTAGTCCTGGCCCTCCATGCGGTAGACATGGCTTTCCGTGTTGAATGGGGCATCTGTCACAAGAGTGGATTATGGTGACAGGAATACCTGCCATCCATAGGCCTGGGGTGATACACTCTTACAAAGACATTTCAATTGAGGAACTGTCTCTGTCAGTCGGCCTGGGGTCATATCTGTGAGGCATTTTCTTCATTACTATAATGGAGGACCCAACCCACTGTGGGTGGGGCTATTCTAAGCACATAAACCTGAGCTGTAGAAGAAAGGTAGCTAAGCACACTAGGAGAAGCCAGCCAGTAAGCAGCTTTTCTCCATTGTTTCTGCTTTCAGGTCCTGTGCTGTGTTCCTCCCTTGGCTTCCTCTCCTGGGTGATTAACCTGTGAGCTGAAATAAACACTTCCTTCCAAATGGCTTTTGTTATGTCTATCTCAGCAATAGAATGTTTATTGAACATGATGCTATATACTAGCACACTACAAAACACACACTCAGCATACATTCTGCCGCTGATACTCATGTGAATTTACACACTCTTGCATACTTTTCTTCTCTCACCCACAGTCAATGTTCACACTTATTTTTGCATGCATGTACACATACACACTCATACATGGTGTCACAAACTCCCCTTACACCTTTGCACAGCTGCTACACTGACACTTGCACAACATAGCTGTGCACTTTTCCATTGTACATTGTCACTTCTATGCACACACACACACACACACACACATTCCAAACATACCCAGAGAAGCACAATCCTACACTAAAAGCCATGTTACACTAAATCATAATCATATAGACACACACCAACTTATCACACAAACACATCAAGACACTGGAACGGGCTATTGCATTCGCCCACACTCATGCTTATACACACAGTCTCACACAAATTCACAATGCCATTACACTTGTTTTTAACTCTGTCCTTAAACCTATCCCTAACGCTAACCTAATTAATAATCTTAAACATAATCCTAATTCTAACAGAGACCCTATCCCAATCTCTATCCTTAGTCAACCTGAGATCTAAACAGCACTAACCCTAACCCTAACACTATTCCTAACTCTAACCCAAGTCCTAACCTCATTCTTATTTCTAAAGCAAGCACTAGGTCTAACCATGACTGTTCACAGTAGCAGAACCATAAACCTAGCCATAAACAAAGGCCCAAATGAAGCCCAGATCTTGCTAAACTATCTCCAGTAATTCTATCACTAACCCTGACCCTAAATTGTTGTGCAATGTTTTACTCTTTAGGCTTTTGGGGGGCCCACCACCCAGCTCCCAAATAAATCACACATGAAGGCTTATTCTTATGAGTGCCCGACCTTAGCTTGGCTTGTTTCTAGCCAGCTTTTCTTAACTTATATTAACCCGTCTATCTTTTCCCTCTGGGCTTTTATCTTTTTTACTTCTGTATATCTTACTTTCCTTCTTATTCCATAGCTGTCTGGGTGGCTGACCCTGATGTTCTTCTCCCCTTGTTTCCTTGATGCTTCTTCTATTTATCCTCTCTGTCTGCCAGCTCTGCCTATGCTTGCTCCTGCCTTTCTATTGGCCATTCAGCTGTTTATTTTACCATCAGGTGTTTTAGACAGGCACAGTAACTCAGCTTCACAGAGTTAAGCAAATGCAGCATAAACCAAAGTCACACAGCTTAAAATAATATTCTCCAACACCAAATCTAACCCTAAACACAGTGTTGCACAAGCATGCAGCAAAACTTACAAACTTTTACACACTGACAGTACTTCCATGCACGCTTACCCCCTTACACACATTCACAAACTCTCCACTTACAAGCTTGCTAATCTTCACATGTGTACATGCATACACAATCACACATGCAGGCAATCAGTTGTATGTGTATCCTCTTTTTGCTTTTATTTTTAAGATTATAATATTATAATTGTATCATTTCCCCTTTCCCTCTCCTCCCTCCAAACCCTCCTATATACCCCTCCTTGTCTTCCTCAAATTTATCTGATTTTCATTAATTGCTGCATGTAGCAGCAATTAATATGCATATATATACACATATATTCATAAATAATAACCTACCTATGCTATATAATGTTACCCATATATATGTTTTCAGAGCTAACCATTGATATTGGATAACCAGTCAGTGTGGTCTTCCCTGGGGAAGAGTATTTCTCAGTATCGTTCAGTATTAATGAGTTGCCTGTAGTTTTTGTGTAGAACTGAGGCCTCGTGGGCTTTTCCCCATCCATTTTGGCATGACTATTGGTGTTATCCTTGTTCAGCTCATGTTTGCGCAGTCATGTTGATGAGACTTCATAGTTGTAACTTCTGATATTATAAGCAGACATGACTTTACAACAAGCTCCTCAATCCTCTGGTTCTTACAATCTCTGCCCCCCTCTTCTCTAACGTTCTCTGAGCCTTAGCTGAAGGAGTGTTTTGTAGACGTTATCTACTGGGACTGGGCTCCACAGCTCTGCATTTTGAATGGTTTTGGTTTTAGTAGGCCCCATCATGAGAAGTGAGGACTACACTTACAGAAATGCATGCCACTAGGAGATAGTCCAAACCCCAGTGGGATCTGAAAGGTGTGCTACCTCACTCCCGTTGTCACTCTGGGTGGGAAAGCTTTCTGCTGTCAGCTACTTCCTCTCATATGGACTCTTAGTTGGCCATGTGACTCTCAGCCTGTAAGCCTTCATGCAACTGTCTGACAGAAACTGGCTCAGCCACAGCTTTTTCCATAAAGAGCCCAAGCTGAGTGAGTGCTGTCAGTGGATAGATACAGCCCCCTAAGGCTGGTTTCCAGATATGATGCACAATGTACAACATACAACCTAGCAGCCTAGGCCTCAGGGCTGTGTCCTACTTCCTGGTATGGAGCTGTGCCTACAGTTTCACCTGGCTCACAAGAAGCTCTGTGCCTCCAGAGACTGCCTGGATCCTCATTGATAGCATCATGGGAGAACAGATGTGCTCTGTGCAGAGCTCCACAGGATTTCTCCATCATATGTTTCCCAAGTCCATCACTGCTCATGATTGGCAATGTTCCCTCTCTGAACCTCTGGTCTCTGCCTTGACACAGTCCCCACAGGGCCTCTGGATCCTGCTTGGGGTTTTACAGTTCTGTTTTTTCAGTAGATTTGAGGAGGGTGTGAAATCTCCGTCAGTCTTCTGCTTTTGCTTATCCCTACTCCCAGAGCAGGGCCCATGAGCAGCTCACTGTTAACTACCCTCAGCTCTAAGGTGTGGCAACCATGGCTCTACACTGCACTGGCTTAAGGAGTTGTAGACAATTGGCACTCTAGTTCATGGCTGGACACCTGGCAGCAATTTAAATTGGTGAGTGCGCCTTTCCCAGCCTTTCCTCACTGACTTCATTCTTTGTTAGGTCCTCAGACAGGACAGCTCTTGTAAGAGAACTCATTTTATTACACTCTTGTACGTGCACAGAGTGAGCACCTGCTTAGTGTGTTATCAGACTCATGCATGTACATACAGGTGAACACCTGACAAGAACTCCCCAGAATGCTGCTTTATTGAGGGGAGGCCAGATTGAGGCCGACACATACCCTTCATGATCCCAAGATAGTATCAAAACAAGGTCCATCTAAAGCAGTGGTTCTCAACCTGTGGGTTGAGACCCCTTTGGGGGTTACATATCAGATATCCTGCATATCAGACATTTACATTACTATTCATAAAAATAGCAAAATTATAGTTATGAAGTAGCAATGAAATAATTTTATGATTAGGGGTGATCACAACATGAAGAACTGAATTAAAGGGTCGCAGCATTATGAAGGTTGAGAATCACCGGTCTAGAGGCCTCATTAGAATTGGAGATCAGCTTGAGCTACATAGTTCTAGGTCAGTTTAGGGTAAAGAATGAAACACTATGTCATAAATCAAAATAAATGTCAAGACAGAATACCCAACAATTTTGTACTAACTAGGTGACAAAGGGTGACCTGAGGCTCTCAAACTGGACCATGTGCTACCCCAGGAGCCAGGCTCCTACTCACTGTTGTCCCTCCAAATTTATATTCTGTGCTCTCCTTCCCAGCTGAAGAGGCTGGCGCAGCCTGCCACAGTGACCTGGGCCAGCCCACATCAGTCACCAGTCCAGACAATTCCCCACAGACATAGTTACAGGCTAATCTGATCTGGGCATTCCTTCACCTGGATGCCTTTTTCCCAGATGACATCAAGCTGAAAATACAAACTAACCATGTCACATGGAGCCTGGACAGTGCACTATGTAAAATTGTAGGGAACACCGGGTCAGTGATGGCTGCGACCCCAGAGAAGCACAGGCTGGTCACCTTTGGTCAGCTAGTTAGCCCATGGCTGTTTCATTTCTATTTCTAGGTTTTGTTTTCTGTTTTTGTTTGTTTTTCTGACATAATCTCTCATTCTGCCCAAGCTGCCCTAGAACATATTATGTAGATCTGGGTGGCCTCCAACTCATAACAATTCTCCTGCCTCAGCCTCTCTGTCCTAGGATACAGGCATGAGTCCCCATACTCAGAAAGAGTTCCTGTGTCGAAACAGCTTACTACATGTGGCTGAGTCAGTCCCCTTATGGCCTGGTCACAGCCTTGGGCTGATACCTGGTGAAGCTTCTCTCACACACGGGGATTTAGTGTGTTAGGTAGTTTTCTGTGGTTACATAGCTTTCTGCCATGCCTGACAGCCTGAGTTTGATCTTTGGAACCTAATAATGGAAACAGAGAAACGACTCCCAAGAGTTATCCTCTGACCTTTGTGTGTGTGTGTGTGTGTGTGTGTGTGTGTGTGGTCTTGAGTGGACACATGCATATACACACTAAAAATTTTCAGTAAAAAATGAAACACATTTTACATTATGATGAATTTTTTTTTTCTGCAGTACAGCATCTGCACCTGATTCTATCGCTGCCTCAGCTGCTGACTGCACCTCTGCAGCCACCAATGTCTCACTGCCAAGGCTGCAGCCTGGGGGAGCCTTCACATCTAGCTGCCACCACCTCAGCCACCTCCACACCTCCAGGTAGGGAAGTAAATGTTGTTTTAACTAAGTCTCTATCTTTTTTATTTTACCAATAAAGACTCAGGAGCCAAATGCTGGTATGAAAACCTGCTTAGCTCAGAGAGACAGAGAAAGCAACTAGCTGACCTTCCTCCTCTGCCATTATCTTAGAAAGAGGGCTCTCTCCTATGCCATCTGAAACAAAACTCCTCCAACCGGATGTCCCTCCCTTCTACTTCCTGTGTCCCCCACCCGTCTCTCTCAGACGTCCCAACTTCCCCTCATCTCTATGGTTACTTCCAGTCAACTGGTTGCTTGCTCCACCTCTTGACCTATGGTTGATTTTATTTCAGTAACAAAATCTTGGAGTTAACAGTGTGATCAAATATCCTGCAACAAGATTCAATAGAGTCAGTTCTCTTAGACAGTCCACATGCGTTAGGTGGTAATGTGCTTTCTCTGCCTACACAGAAGTTTATATATGGCCATTGAATTAAATCAAGCTTGTCTGTTTGCTGTTGGTAATTTTACTAGATTATCAGTTGTTTCAATGAGGTATTTGTTCATCAATTTTCTGTTTCTCAAAGCTATTAATCATTCTCTTGATTTCTTAACTTGTTTCTGTTGCTTTCATAAAACACCATAATCAAGGCAACTTTTTAGAAGAAAGAGTTTGTGTTTTCAGTTCCAGAGGGATAAAAGTCCATGATAGTGGAGTAAAGGCTGCTGGAGCAGCAGCTAAGAACTCACATCTTGAACCACAGAGAACATAAAGAGCAAATAGGTATAGCATGAGTCTACACTCTGAATGCCTGTCTCCAGTAACACACTTCCTCTAGCAAGGCCACACCCCCTCGGCTCCCCAAACAGTGTGGTCAACTGAGGACTGAATATTCTGACTGAATGGGGGAAATTCTCATTCAAACTACACAGGCCTTATTCTGATAGGATTTTAATACACATTGTTCCCCGCTAACCTTGGAGGGTGGCACCCTTTAACTTCCAAGGATAAGCACTCATCAGCAGTCCCTGCTATGTGGATGCTCCTGTTTCTGTGTCCACCCAGAGTACATTTACCTTTCAGTCTCAATTGGAGTCAAACTTGCCTGTGAACTGGAGTCTTTCAGGGCAAGAAAACAAGCAAATCCTAACAACTGTTTTATACAATATGGAGAAATGTAGAGCAAGATACAGGCTGGCTGACAAGATGAAACCATCTCAAGGGCAAAGGATACTTTGAAGCAAAGCAAAGAACTGTTGATGCAAGAGCTTCAGGCTAAGGCCCCTTCCTGGGGTCCAAGGAGATACAGCCCGGTAATGCACAACATCTCTGGAGACTCTAGTTATTAATCAGCTAATATGTTAAGGCAATGCCCAAATGGACACAATTAGCAAATGGAATCACTATGTCTAAAGCCAGGATGTCTGGCTCCAGCCTGTGACCTATTCTGAAATACAAATGTGGTCCAAACTTAATTAGTGCATTTTGTGCTGCTACAAATGCCTCACTGTGCAGTAGTCGTTAGAAACTGAGCACACACTAACAACCACTCTGAAAAACGTCTATGTCAGCCAAACCATAGTTTGTGTCATAAGTCTTTGTGGTTTGGTTTCCTATGAGGTATGTGCTGCAGGATTTTAACACAGAAAAGGTAGTTTCTTTTATACCAGAAATACATATTATTCTAAGGGAAGGGATCAAATGTTTGTGCACAATCCTTCACCCCTCTATTTTACTGATGTCTTCATTCAATTGTGACTGGCTACCTGCTAATTCATTTCATCTTATATGAACATCTTGCTACCCTGTTATATATGCATCCATTTTGACTGGCTGCCTATCATACTTGAATAACTCTCAAATGTTTAGCTATATAAGGCCTGTATTTTATATGAATATTTGGGAGGAAATTGTAGGAAAGTATTCCTGGGGATTGAAAAGACAAAAGTGACATTTCAAGTTTTATTGTTTGTTTGTTTGTTTTTGAGGTGGTGATTTTTGTTTTTCCAGACAGGGCTGATCTGTGTACCTCTTGTGTCCTGGAACTCACTCTGTAGACCAGCCAGGATAGCATCAAACTCAGAGATCCGCCTGTCCCTGCCTCCCAAGTGCTGGGATTAAAGGCATCTGCCACCATCTCCCAGCTCACTTCAGTTCTTAACCATCTTGTCTGCATACAGTCAGCCTGCAGCTTGACAGAGTATCCCAAGGTAGTGTTCATCTGCCCCAAGTGTCTGGAGGCTTCATCATGTACTCTTCCTCCTGTTCACCCTGAGGAGAGCTTGAGCAAATAGAGAGCTGAAATCCTAGTATACTGAGGATCCACTGTGTTCTAGTGGGTATGGTTTCCATCACTAAGTGTGGTCCATATAAACAATTGCAGTCCCTTGGCAGATACTGAGAAATGACCCCACTTTGAAAAAAGATTTCTTTTTTTGAAATGTATGTGCATGTGGTGTCTGTATGTGTGTCTGCCATGTGTTCAAAGGTATCTGGAGTGATCAAAGGAGGGAGGGTGTTGGATCACCTGGAGGTAGACTTACAGAACTTGGGAGCCATCCACTTGGGTACTGGAAACCAAACTTTGGCCCTTTGAAGAATCTGAATCATTAGCTTTCAGATGGGTAGAAGAGGAGATACAGTGGGCATGGAATTCTGCCAAAGTCCCTGAGTGCTCTCTGTGCTCAGAACTGTTCCAGCTGGTCATGTTCATGTGGCATTCTTAGAAACATTCTCTGAGTTTGGCTGGCATGGGGCTACAGGAGAGGAGGGAGTCTGGAGCTTACTCCCAGGACATTCCAGGCTCTTGTGCACATAACAGTCAATTGGACAAAGCCATGTGGATAGTCATAGAAGCAGAGAGGGCTTATAAAGAAAGAATGCTTCCAAGCCAGAAAGTGAGTCATGGCTGTGAGAAAAGCTGAGAAGGCCATGGGCTAGGGACATGGCTCTGTGGGTACCTTAGTTACTTCTTATTGTTGTGATGAGACACCAAAACTAAGTCAAATTATAAAAGGGTTTATTGGGACATGCAATTTCAGAGGGTAAGTCCATGACCAGAGAGCATGGCAGTATGAGGGCACCCTGAGGGAGAGACCATTCCCTTTTGAAAACCTAGGAAGGACCTGTGTCAAGAGACATCCTTGAAATCGGAGAGCCGGAAAGACAGCTGCCATGTACAAGGCTTTGGAGAGGCCTGGAGGAAAGAGAGCCCTCCTTCCTTCCCTCCCTCCCTCCTTCCATTTGGGAGAGAGAGAAAGAGAGTGAGTGACTGTGTATGTTTGCTTCATGCATGACTGCTAAGTGAGCCAAGTATACATACCCATGCCTACATGTGCAGAGGTCAGGGGCTGGCACTGGCAGTCATCTGTTGTTCTCTACTTTATTATTTGAGGCAGGGACTCTCTGAATTTGGAGTTTATGGATTCATGGAGACAGACTGCCCAGCATGCTCTGAGGATCCACTTGTGTGCACCTGCCAGTGCTAGTTTTACAGGTAAACACCACCGTGTCTGGTGTTTTATGTGAATTGTAGGATCGAACTCAAATCCTTGTTCAACAAGTTCTTTATCAATTGTGGTAGTTTGCATGAGAATGCCCCCATAGGCTCAAACTGTTGAATGCTTGGTCCTCCACTGTGGAAATGTATGGGAAGGAGGAGCACTCATGGCCTTGTTAGAGAAAGTGTGTCATTACAGGCATGTAGAACTTTAAAAATTCTGAGCCAATCGAGTTAGCTCCCTGTCTAGCTCATGCTCTTGGACCAGGATGGAAGCTCTCAGCTGCTGCTCCACCACCATGCCTACCTAACTGCTGCCATGGCCCCTCTTTGGAGGGTGACCTTTTAATCTCACACCAGAAATTCCTGAAGGATGGTGTATGCAACACACCTTGCAAGTTGTTTCATCCATGCATATCTTCTCTCTGTTCGTTCACGCATACCTTCTGCCCTCTACTTCAACCTAACCCTCAAGTCGGCACGCTAAGACTCGAGCATGACTAGACTTCTTTCTTCCTCTTCCCCTTTTAATGAATCTCCCTTTACTGGTTTTTCACTCTTAATTTACCTTTTGGATTGTCTTAGTGAGTACAGGTAGCTGAACCTGGAGTGTTAGGCCTGACAGGGTCTAGGGTCTGCCCTTAATTCTGGTGACAGGCTGAGTTGATAAACTCTTGCACGGGAGGTGGGAGGGGGATAGTGAGCAGCTGAATTTGCTGCTCAGAGGCACACAATGGCTATGGTCCACTGCCACAATTTATAGAGAGCCTGAGGGGCTGCTGGACTTTTACCCTGTTGTGACTCCACATCTAGAACTCAGCCTAAAACATAAAGTTCTTCTATTTCCACAATTTCACTTACCTGTATGTGAAACTTTCCAGAAAGGAAAAATTCCCAACAAGTGCTAATTTACACACTGTTCTGCTATCCATCTCCATGCTATCTGGAGCCGAACAGCCCTTCACATGGTATCTAAACAGCCTAGGCTCTTGCTCCTTATCCACTTAGTCACCATGCTGGGTACTAAGTAGACTAACTCAGTACTTCAGAACCTGTGGTCAATTCCCTGTGTTTCCTCTATAGTAACCCCAAAGATGAAACATATGGATGGCACTTTTCAGGTCTGCTGAAGAGAAGGTGTAATGCTCTTCCTTCAAAGGAAAGTGGGAGAGTTCTCAAATAAAAAGGAGAGCAAAGAAAGTGCTTGAGGTTACTAAGTCCTCTAGAAAAAGTAAAACCTGCTCTGTATCAGGCTGGGCACACTGACTTCAGATAGCTGGGGAGCTGTGAATAAGAGAAGAGCTATGTGATGTTATAGACCCTCTAAGTGTCTCCCACCTCTCAGAATACAGCATGTGCCTTGTTCCCCACACCTGTCTCTGAGACACACAGTTGGTAAGAAACCAGTCCTCCTTTGGGCTTGTGAATAAACAATTTTCTGAATAGATTTCACTTACCAAAATTAAATCAAGAACAGATAAGCAACTTGAATAAACCTATAACCACTAAAGAAATGGAAGC